ACTAGAACGACATCAATATCGTTTTGTATTTCAAAAACGATTTTAATGTTATTATGTGAAGCATTACAATTTTTCTTGTGAAACGATAACAATATCATTTTGCTTGTCAGGAACGACTTTTATATCGTTATGTGAAGCAGTAGTTATATTTTGTCGTAATGACTTAAATGTTGTTGTGTTATTTATTTATTTATTTTTTTGGAATGATTTCAGTATCCTGAACAGATATGATATAAACATGAAAGTTTAAATATTTTGTAAATATATGAACTTGAATTTAATATCTAAAATGATCAAATTCCAAATGCACCAGCTAGACAAAATCTAAATTGCTAGACAACATTCCCAAATTATCAATTAGTTTAGACAAAATATTTCAACTAATTAAAAAAATTACGAAAATGAAATAGCCAAAAATAATCTAAGGCTTGAAGTTTCGTATCAACAACTCTTTCTTCATTAACAATGTCATACCACTTTTTTATAGCACTGTAAAATATAAAATAATTAATAATTAGCAAAGACATAATTGACCTCAATTTAAATCAATTTTGCACTTCCCAAATCTTTTCATTATGAATGACGCCTCACCCGCTTCTTCCCCATCTACTAACGTTCATGTACAGAACAAAGAGAAACTGGAAAAGTGTTGCTAAAGCAGTATAATAGGCATTCCTTCATTTCCTATTTTACAATGTGGAGAGCTACTGTAAATATAATCCTCATTTCCAAAGCTTTTGTCCTAATTACTTGTAACAAAATAAGAATAAATAAATGTTCTACATAAATTAGAATGAAGTGAATGACTTCTATTTCGTAATATCATACCTTTACAGGAAGAACGTGTGAAAAAAGAACGGTAGACTATTTCATTACAAATGTAACACTGATGCAGTACATTAATAATTTCTCCTAATATTAGAAAGCATTTTGTTTGATTTTCCCAAATAATGACATAATAATGGTTAGCTTCTAGGTAACTTAAATTGCAAAGTGGAAATACACCATTCAATAAATAATAATAGATTGCAGAAGAACACTGTAAAACTGCACAACTTGTAAATACTCATGGAGCCAAAAATCTTAGGTGTATATGGACATTTTTGCAAAAATAAAACATATTACATTTTGGACCGAGTTGTGTGTCATGCTATGGACCGAGCTGTGTGCACAGCATGACACACAGCTCGATTCACAGCCTCCTAACATCGAGGGGACTGCCGATTAAAAAAATGGGCGTGGGCCCTGAAAAATGTGTTTTTACACACTTATTTAACTCACAAATATGACTTAAACATGGACAAAGTAGTTGAATTGTGACTTAATTTCGTTAAATTCATGCAATGTAGGTGTTTCTATGAAAAAGATGGAATTCAGAAGAAAAGAGTCGAAAAAGGATCAAAACGGAACAAAGCGATAGTTCGGGGACCAAATGTGTAAATATTGAAAAGTTGAGCTAAAGTGCAGAACTAGAATGAAAATATGCTAAGTATGAGATTGAGGACGATACAAGACGATAGGAGGAAGAAAGAAATAACATTGGACCGAATTGAAGAAAAGTGAAAGATGAAGGACTAAATTGTAATTAATCAAAAGATGAGCCGAGCAAGTGATCAAGGAATTGATTGACCCAAACATCAATTAGGAGTCAATATTTGATAATGGAATAAAGGAAAAAAAGAAAAGAGATCAAGAAAAGAGAAAACGGAGTTCAGGGATCAAAACAGCAAGGTTGTAAAGTTCCAACCATGCGTCCACACAGAACTATACCATGCGGCCCCACATAAGAATGCAGGGATTTTATTGAGGCAGATCACTTGAACCATGCGGCCGCATGGCTTTAAAAGTCGAAGAAAATTCTGAACTTGCGTTTTTAATTAAAACTCTTTCAGGGTTCCGTGAGGATATGATATAAAAGCAAAAATTCATCAGAAATAGGGTAGAACGTCCAGGGAGAAGAAAAATATAACTTTTGGAGGCAAGAAACACGATCTTGAAGCCGATTCCACAAGAATTCAAGCGGGTTTTCAAGACTTTATTTAAAATTTCAAGAAATTTTCATACGGGTGCTATTCTTTCTATTTATTAATTTCGTTTTTTTCGTAATTATGAATATTCTAAGCTAAGTTTTCAATTCATTAGGTGATCGATGAACCATTGTTTGTTATTTTAATTTCATATTTCATGCATTTAATATAAAGACTCGTTTGGATAATTTGATTGGGTTATATGCATTGATTTTCTTCTGCAATTAGTGACCAATGATTGTGTGAGTGTTGATTACTTATTTCTTACATTTGAGAGAAGTGGAATAGGTTCGATAAGGTGTAAATCAACATAAGGTCCAATAGGGGATAGAGATATATTCCTATGCTTTATGCAATTCTTTAATTGGTCACAAAACCACATGCATTCTTATATATTTGCATCATCCATAGAGATATAGGTTGGTTGTGTGCAAGAATAAGTCTAATATATATCAAGAGAATATATTGGATAGAATTATGAACATTGAATTGACAAATTTCCATCGGGTCATTGATTTTATGAAATTAGGGTTTTCATAACTTCAATTGGGGATTCGTGATCCTAGTGACTTTATTTTGATTCATTTCCATAAATTAGATTTTAAATTTGTATAATTTCATTTACTTGAGTGTTTGAGTAGTTTAATTAGAGAAATTTCTAAATTAGGGTTTCTAATTGAGAAATTAGGGTTTTTAGTAGAAATTAGGGTTTTTAATTGAAATTAGGGTTTTTTTTTTGCATTTGGACCATATTTTCACTCAATTAGATTCGGTTAAGGTTAGATTATATAGAATTGAACTACTCAATCTTTGAAGGACGATATTCGGACTTTTAAAAATCCACTTTATTACGTGTTACGATTCGTACACTTACGATAGTTTTAAATCGAAAGAATTATTTCGTGAACAGACCCCCTCTATAGTGAGGGGACTGTAAGTGTACAACACCTTTTGGTGCTGTACAAGTAGGTTAACCCTTACATTTTCGTCCCATATATCATGTCAAGGTCATTATCACCATTAATTTTTCAATGTCCATAAACATGTTAAATGTGTCTCTAAGATAATACTAATTTCCTCCTTACATATTAAACGGACAAATTCCGGCTATGTTTTTCACAGCTGGTCCTAAATCTAGCCAAATGAGGAAGGTGGTTGTTAGTTAATAGACAATTTAAAACATTGTCAAACATGTTGTTTGAATTCATCATTCCACTGAATCTCAAAGAATTAATATCCCCGTCAAAATTCAGCAGGATTGACTAGATATAGACGTGCCTTGAATAACCATCAAGTCAAAGCAAAATGTAAGTTTGGATACCGATGAATAGCTAGCCATAGTACAAGTACCAAACTCGACTCCTTTAAAATTGACAAGTTCAAGCAATGTGAACTTTTCTTTTTCAATGAGTTATAATCAAGTTGATAATACAGGAACGCTCCAACTTGTGTTGGGATGATTTTGAAAAACTATAACCAACTAGCAAGGAAGATTTCATGTCTTAAATGAGACATAAATTCTATCTACAAATCAAAGGGAATCCAATGCAATAGATTTGGAAAATCTAGAATTAACCTTAGATTTAGTTGCTTCATCTGCTTAAAATCTACAAAAACATGGAGAAAATTAGGCATACTTGGTCTCTCCTTCAAAAGTTGATCCAGACACTAAGGTTCCTTCTTAATAAAAAAAAAATAAAATCAATTAGCCATGTAGGCTATTTTTGATGCATGTGCACCACTAAATTTTGTTGACAAATTAATTGTTTTGTTGAACCACGCTTTAATACTCAAGATACTTGTCACTAACTTTTTCTCAAATTGAGGAGAGCTCAAATTCCAATCATCTTGGCAAAACTCAACCTGCTAGAGTTCACCAACCACCAACTTATTTGAAAGATTATGCCACTCTTGTCACCATAACCAAATCTACTTCTTTGCCATTTGAGCCAAAGACACTCAAAATTGCTATGCACAAGGAGTTATCTTCTCTTTAAAGGTCTAAAATCTTAAATGAGAGCTCATTGTGGGTTTGAATGCAAATTTTGAACCTCAAAACCCTCCACCAATCGTTGTCTTAGTAGATATAATGTCTTCGTTCAATTTAAAAGCCTCTGCCGACCTCCGAAAATAGTCAACAAGTGTCATTAGAAGATAGTGTACGTGCGAATATATTTCATAGTATGTAAACTATTAGTAGTATATTTGTAGAAGAAGATAAACGGTAGGCAATGAAAGTATATTGTATTCTCTTGTCTATATTTTCAAGATCCCTTTCAATGATACAAGAATTGCTTATTTATATTGATCAGACGGACATGGTTACTGCTGGATTGGATTCACGTTGCCTGATCTGTCGACCTTTAGTGTCACATTAACTCTATTACATATTAATTACATTGATAGACTTTTAACAAGAGGTCAACCATTCTACAAATCAAAGCTGACATTCCTAACACTCATTAATTGTGCACGTCATATTAACAATCAACCCTGAAAACGTGCTTGCCCGCCCCTCTTCTGGTTGTAAAGGACTTCGGATACTCAATGAGCTCGGTAGTAAAAGGCCAACCACCTCGAAAGGGCTTAATGAAACGAGCCCGGCGCTTCATGTGACAATCTCGGATATTGATCCCTTCTATACCGATTCTTTGGTGCTTGCTAGGTGCATGAACATGAGGTCTCCACGTAGACCATTCTGTATTGTTCAGCAACAACCTCCATAATTGTTGCCCTCACAATAAGAAGGAGAAGATGTGGTATTTGACGTCAAGGGGAAGATAGTTTTTGGAAAATTGAAGGAAAATATTATTTTTGAGAATTTAATGGAGAAAAAGGTTTTCAATTTGGAGACGAATATGTTTTTGAGGTGAATCAAAGCCACATTTCCTTCAATTGATATTACAAGGGAAGGTTAATTTAGTCCTTTCACACTTTTAATAATTAGATTTCATTTTAGTTTCAGGATTCAAAGACCTGTTCAACAAAAACATTTTGAGTGGCGGCCATCCGAACTCATTCCCACAACAAGAAATCTCTCGCACACGAAAACTCATCTTAATCTCTCACTGTTACAGTGAAGGTATGGAAAGAACCCCCTAAGAAAATTCAGAATTCAATCAAGAAAGGTACAATCTTTATAACAATTATGCGGTTCTATGAACATATAATGTGTTTTCAATGGTTGTGAGCGTGCAAAGACGAATATCTGTTGCTGGGAGGGGCACTGCGTCAGTTTCTTTGCAGTCAACACATGATATTTATGGAATTTGTGCAAAAAGATGGTTCTTATGAAAATTGGGCATTAGTAGTATCAATCTGAAGAGTTTTCTGTTTTTCGCTTGTTGGATAATTTTGCGATTATGGGGATTTTTACAGGTTCCTTGTGGGATGTAATGCATTGCAGATTCCAGTTGAGTTGTCAAAATTGATGTTTTTATGTGGGTATGATATAAATTTAGAGCATAGTTAAATTTAAGGCTCAGATTTTGTCTTGTCCTCTAAATTTGTCTGATAATATGACTTCTCACCCCACTTCCCGCACGGGCATTTCACTTCACTTCTTAAAATTGTAATTGGAAATGGAAATAAGAACCTTTTTGTCGCTTGTTGGATAATTTTGCGATTATGGGGATTTTTACAGGTTCCTTGTGGGATGTAATGCATTGCAGATTCCAGTTGAGTTGTCAAAATTGATGTTTTTATGTGGGTATGATATAAATTTAGAGCATAGTTAAATTTAAGGCTCAGATTTTGTCTTGTCCTCTAAATTTGTCTGATAATATGACTTCTCACCCCACTTCCCGCACGGGCACTTCACTTCACTTCTTAAAATTGTAATTGGAAATGGAAATAAGAACCTTTTTGTGCAGATTTTTAGAGAATACATGTGAAAAGTGAGTTTTGGGGATAATGTATTACTGAAGACGAGTTTAGGGGGAGATGACTTTTACTGAAACTCTACCAAAGAGGGGCTAAATATAATGATTCTTGGGAAGTATGTATTTTGAAGAATTATATTGACTATGACGCCATTTTTGTTCTTAAGTCAAACTCACAACTTTCTTGAATATAATTGGAAATGAGGAAAAAAACCAGCAAACATCATGTTCAACTGGAATTATTATCACTGATATTTTTATTTTATTTTATTTTATTTGTTTGGATATGGCTATGATTCAAAAGAAGATTACCGAGTTTCCAATTTGCCCACTTCCTATGTGTATAAGTGAAGTCATATGTCTGTAACTCTCATTATGGAATAACTTTTAACACTGGAGAGGTTTAGAGGTACATTTTTTCTAAAGAAAGAAAAAGGAGATATTATATATAAACTTCTGGAGGTATTTAGACTGTGCTATGATTTTATGTGTATTATTGTGCTTCTTGTTTTAGATTATAAAAAAAATTAAGTCAAATCTTGCGATTGTTGTTGGTTTGTTCACTTTTTCATTTCATTTTCTAGGATTTACAACAAAAGAGGATGGGTATAGCTGATACAAAGAGCTCTAAGAATTACTGGATTAAAGTGTCAGCTTGCATGAGATAAGTAACATCTAGAATTTGTACAGCTTTTGCTTTTTACTGATGAAGAAAACTCTTCAAACTCTGGCTCAACTAAAGAAGAAAAAAGTGAAAGCAAATGGCAGAATCCCGAGCTCCCTCTGTCATTTTTGATATTAGTGAACCTGCTGCTTCTCTCAATTCCATAAGATTTCATTCAGATAGACATGGGAATCATAACGTTCATGGATCTGGTTTTTCTGGCTTTAAGAAGAGAGGTCATAATCTTGGAAGTCGTTCTTGGATAAAGATTGATCACACTGGCAATTCAAAAGTTTTGGAACTGGATAAGTTTACTGTAATGAGGCATTGCTCTTTACCTTCTCGAGATCTCAGGCTTTTGGACCCGATGTTTATCTATCCTTACACAATATTAGGTCGAGAGAAGGCTATTGTCATTAGTCTTGAACAGATTAGATGTATAATCACGGCTGATGAGGTTATACTAATGAATTCACTTGATGGCTCTGTGCTAAAGTACAAGTCTGAATTGTGCAGACGCCTTCAGACATCTAAAGATCAACCTGGTAAAATAGTTTAGTTTGTATAAGATGTTTAATTTTTCCATTGTTGACTGTGTCATTTTGCTGCTATGAACCACTGAGTGATAAATCTTGATCTCTACTTGAAATTATGTTCTTTATGTCTTTGGAACATTGAGATAAATTTCAAATATTAACATTCTTGACAATATGAAGCCATAATGTGAAGACTGGAAAATAAGTGGATAGAAAGTAAGAAGTTGAACCCAAAAATATTTCTTAGTTAGAAGTCTATTGAACTCTCTATATTAAGATAATTATCTGCATCTAATTGATCGGAAATGGGAGTATTTCTTTATCATCTAGAGAGATAAATTTAATGGTTTTCTGATACATATGTTCTAAATTATTAAAGCTAACCAGCAATTGGTCAAAACTGTACCAGTCAATGAGAAGAACAGGTTATTGTTTTTTCACCTTCATCATTCCTTTCCATTTATCTAAAGTTAACATGAATCAGCCTGATAGAAATTCCAAGGAGATGTTAATATAAAAAGGGAACAACAAAGTAGGTTACTGACTTGCTGTAAATCTCTAAATGCTTGTACCAGCGTTAGGCAGGACATTTCTATCTGTACAAGGAACGTGGTTGTACATGTTGACTACAAGATTTTATGGAAATGTCTATTTTCTCACGGCAACAAATATTGATGTAAAATGTGAAAACCTTAGTGGAAAACTGAGTTTTAAACACTACTTCCCATGATTATTTCTTTCTCTTTTACTTATCAAGAAAGAAAGGCTAAGAAAAGCAAGAAACTGAGGAAAAATTTTCCATTTTCAATAGGTTAAAAGTTAAAACGTTCTAGATATACAGTCTGCAAATCTGTATTTCTTTCATCTTTGACCCCAGAAGCATACTTCGCACCTGCTTTGCTTCTTATCTAGCTTTAAGCTGCCCTGTGGTGGGGACATTGGGGAGTTCAGAAGGCATTTGCATAAAGTCTAATGCCTGTTTATTGTCACATAGACCGTATTTGGTTCGTCTTTTTCGTGAATGCGTCTGATAGAAGTCCGACCATAGATCCACATTTTCTTTCTGGTACATGTAATTCCTGTAGAGTATAAATTGGTTTTATTATTTTCTGGTGCTTTCTTTCTATGATTTTACCATCATAGATTCTAACAAATTGAAGAATGATCTCTTGATTGGTCTCCTATAATTTTGTTTTCAATACAATCTTTTAGAATTAACTTATTCCATGACTTAAAAGTGTTATTCTGACAATAATTTAATGAATTTTCGAGGATAACTCCTTTATTTTATTCAATACTTACTATTAGTAGATATGAAATTTGAATGCATGTTTAGATTGCTTGTATTTTCTATATTAAAACAAATTCAGAACTCAAAGTTCTGGTAACAAGCAAGTATTTAATTACGAGCATTCAATGTCGCCTCTGTTTTTGTTTAAGCTTAGAATTAATCAATTATCGAATACTTTGGGATTTTTAATTGAATATATATAAATTCGTCTAAGTCTATGGACTAATTTTCGCCTCCTTACAAATAGAAGAGGGGTTTGGCATCGTCCCCTGCAGTAAGAATTAATACAGTTGGAGGAAACATGCAAGGCTTACCTCCAGAACTATGTCAAAAGGAGAGAGAGAAGAAAGCATATGAATATTATATGTTTAGAATATGAAAATAAATTTATGTCAAGAATCATGTAAATCTCTTCACAAGAGCATTTGTGATTATGGCACTAGCAATAATAAAATAAAACTGTTTTAACATATATTTAGTTGTAAGAGCCAATATATTGGTCCGTACATGTGGTCCTCCTCTTCCATACTGAAAAGATCTGTGCAAGATAAAACTGGTCTTTTCTTTCTATTTATTTATTTTTTTCTCATGTAACAATTGATAATGTACAAAGATTTTTTTGTCAATGAAAAATTTATTCTCAATACTGACAATAATTCAACACAGTATTTCAGTCTACTATAATTATAAAGGTTAAGTTGCCCCATACAAATGCTATTTTTAGGTACAGCTGTAATAGTGGTAAAATAAGATACAATTCATTTGGATAATAATTATTATGACGTTAAAATTGCTTCTTGAATAGTTGTGTATTTTAGCTACCTTTAATTATGATAAATTGCTCCAATCTTATAAATCTTATGCAAAATTTTTCCTTTCTTTATATCTATAATTTCTCCAAATAAATATTTGGAGTAGCTTACAATGTGCCTGGTTTTATTCAGATGATCTGCCTTTTGAATTCAAGGCATTGGAGCTGGCTTTGGAACTAACGTGTACGTCCCTTGATTCTCAGGTACGTGATTATCTTTTTTAAGCAGTAGTAGTAGAAGTTTTTGTTTGAGATTTCTAGTTGTCTAGCAAATGGATCCTAGAGTTTGTCTTATTTAGCCTATGGGTATCTGGGATCTTCTGTGACTCATTGTGGAGGTTGATCGGTTCGGGGAGAGTGTTCTTGCTGTATATTTGTTATGAAAATTTCTGTAGGAAATCTTTTGTTTCTGATTCCCGAATTTACATTCAGGAAATGAAAATCCTTTCCTTCAGTTGTTAAAATCTCGTTATTCTTTGTGCACTCAAGTCTTTTCAAATCGCTAATCTTCTCCCATCTTTGATTTGAGGATTACTACATATGGCTTTCTGTCCTAACTCTACTGCCAATCTTTGCATCCACAAACATGGTTACCAAAAGATGAAATGCTATAGATAATGTACATTTGAATAGCATCTATATGTGGGTATAACCCCCCATAAACAAAATAAGCAATCTAATAGTATGTTTGGTAGGGCTGATTAGATAGCATGAGTCATCTTCAGTACTAGATCCCATACATGCACTAAAGAATGTGTGGTAGGGAGGATTGGATAGCACAAGTCATGTTCAATACTAGGTGATGAACAGACATGCACTAAAGAATGTGTCAGCTAAGTCATTGCTTTGAACTTTATGCATTTAGTAGGTGAAAGAACTAGAAATGGAGATATATCCAGTACTTGATGAATTAGCATCATCCATAAGCACTCACAATCTAGAGCGGGTGCGTAGATTCAAGGGCCACCTCCTTGCCTTGACCCAGAGAGTACAAAAGGTAAGATAATGGATTTGTGCATTAGAACATATGTTAAGCTGCTTTTTGTACTCTTCGTTAGCTTTTATCTTGAATTCTTAGGTTTGCGATGAAATTGAACATTTGATGGATGATGATGGAGACATGGCTGAGATGTATTTAACGGAGAAGAAAGAAAGGAGGGAGGCATTGACCAGCAGCGACCTATATGATCAAATCAATACTTCTCAAAATGTAAGGGTTGTATCGAAATCTGCACCCGTTTCTCCTGTGGGATCGTGTAGTGGAGTGCGGAAACTGCAGAGAGCTTTCAGCAGCATTAGTTCTAGTAAACATGGAAGCTTCCTAAGTTCATCTAGTGGTGGAGAAAACATCGATCAACTTGAAATGTTACTGGAAGCATACTTTATAGTCACTGACAACACACTCAACAAGTTACTATCGGTGAGAAACCCATTGTTAGATCATTCTTCCCAGTATATTGTTTACAAGTCTTAAATGTAGTTAAAACTAAGGAAAAAAAATTGCACCATTGTTCCCAGCTTTTGAAAAGGAGCAAGTTGGTCCTCAATCTTTGATTATAGTTGCACAGGGTAATCTCTTAAGATCACACGACCCTCACATGTTCAAATTTGTAAAGTTAAGGTTTTGTTTTCCAACTTGGACTAGTGCTCAAAAATTTCTAAGGCATGTTTTCATGATCGCCACTTGACAATTCAATAAAAATTTAGATGGTTTTGGTTATTAGGGATTATTGTACAACTTGCCACTCTGGTAATGAATTGAGTGCATATAGTGCTTATTTTCCCTAAAATTAACTGTCATTTTTTCCTTTATCAATTCTAGAGGTTCTCTAGACTTGATTACTCTTTGGCCATGACCACATTGCAAAATATCCATTAAGTTGACACTGGGAATGTACTCGTGCGTTTACAATTTGATTTTGACAAAGCATACTCTATAATCTATATGCCTAAGTTACTAAGTTGAACTGGCTTCTTAAGAAGAGCACTCCGTTCGTAGATCTGGTGCCTTTAATTGGTGATTGAAGTACACATTCACAATTGCTGTACTACAAACAAGTAGTGCAAAATAAGTCAAAATAATTCTCTTTGCTACATGATTGACACTTAGGCGTAAGTAATTTTTCTTTCATATTTCATGGCGTTGCAGCTTAAAGAGTATATCGATGATACGGAGGATTTGATCAACATAAAGCTGGTATGGATCAGAAGACTATAATTCATGATTAAATTTCATATCTTTAACAATATGCAGTGCAGACAAAATTTGCTTGTTTTGTATTTGTAAACAGGGAAATGTTCAGAACCAGCTGATTCAATTCGAGTTGCTTCTGACGGCTGCCACTTTCGTAGCTACTGTATTTGCTGTTGTAACTGCTGTTTATGGAATGAACTTCGAAGATTCAACCTTTGATAACCCGTCTACATTTTACTGGGTTCTTATCATAACTGGAGCATTCTGTGGAATATTGTACTTTGCCTTCTTGATTTATTTTAGGCACAAGAAAGTATTTCCTTTGTAGATTGTACATGGGAATATAGATTGATCAGAATTAATTGATGCTAAATTCGTCGCAAGATTTTTTTATGACACCAGAACGATGAGATCTTGAGCTTGTTGAACCCAGTCAAGTGCCATCAATGGTAGTCTCTCTCCTATTATGTTATCAATGTTGCAAGATTCGTGCTTATGCTCAAGTTTTGAACTCACTGTTCATTTTCTCCGTGACAATTTTCATTCAGACTACTTTTTCTTAAGATTGTATATTACGAGGCAATTGTTTAAGAATTTGTACTCTGCACTGGTTATGCCTTTCAGTCGCTGTCTGTACCACCCCCCACCCCCCTTAAGTGTGGCACAAAATGGAATTTTATACATACGTTCATAAGTATTTGAACTAAACAGATGCTGCAGAGCTTACTTCAAAAGTCGACACGAACATTTTGATGAACATAACACATCATTCAAAATTCTTTATATGTATGTATACATGGATTTGTTGTTCTATTTTCTAGTTTTCATTAAGATATACTCTCTTTACTTTTGACCGTGAAATTTTTAAATTTCTTTGCATTTCTGATTAGTTGTCATCATCTTCACCCTCCTGATTCTCATTCGATTTACCATGGTGTGAAATGGATCCATTTTCTTCAAATTTTATCCAATAGAACGCTTTAGATCAGTGCAATTGCTACTGTATAGATGTAGGACTTCTGGGAGGAGAAGATGATTCTATCTAACTGTGAAAAATATCCTTTCAGAGACATTGCTCTATGATCTCAGAGTTTGAGCCCCATTTTCACTATACTCCAGAGCTATCTCGAGCTCCTTGATGTGTGCTTCGAGCCTAGATTCTATCAACTCATGGAGGCGCAAACTCAGCTCCCGAGGGGAAACGGCATAATTTATAGGCTGCGAGCAATCAGTGGCTGTCTTTGTTCCATCACGCCCAGACTCGGATGCATAGTCATAATTTTCACTAGACACAGCTAATTTCAAGTCTCCTTGCATAGTATACGGTTCAAAATCAGGATCAAGCTGCATCAAACAGTTGAAAACTATGAATTCAACTTTAAAGGAAACTGCAGATGGATCAATCAAAAATTTCTCAGAAGTCAAAGCATCATAACATTATGATTGATGAGGTTTCCCAAAACATTTAGGGCCTGTTTGGGCCTGATTTTTTCACTCAAAAAATTGATTTTTTAACCGTTATTTCACTATTCCAGCCGTCATATTTGACTTTTTCTCTCACAGGTGGACCCTACTTTTCTCCTAACGGTCAAAAAATCAATTCTCAAAATCACTCTCAAACAAGCTCTTAGAAAGATAAAAGTTATATCTATGACTTGATTGAGTGTGATCAATCTAAGAACTTTAAATGCCACATTTAGACAGCACTAGTCAAGCAGAAGTATTTCATCCAATATGAACCCACAAGTTCGCGTGCTTTCTACAAAATATGGGAGCCTATTTAAAACTTGCTCGGGTCAGAGTGTTTTGGCTTTTTTATCACTACCTGTTGCAGGTCTACTGTGACAAATAGACTAGGCCGTGGTTTGATGGCCTTTAATTCAAATCTCCTTTCTTTTTTCTTTTTTTCTTTTTTCAACAAAATGTTCTACCCATAACCCCAAAATTTTTCCAACCACACGTTCTTCAAAAATTCACTATTCATAACATTTTTTCCCAAATAATGGCCATCAAATAGGAGCTAGAATAGAAGTGTTCAATATTTAAAATAACACAAGAAGTGCATTAAACTCCCAAGATCAATTTTGTATAGACCTTAATGCACAACTTGTATATTCATATAAGAAACCTTGTATTTCTGTATTTCTTTGGACGAGGTTAAAATTTCATTGTCAGATGAATGCTTTGGAAGTAGAGAAAAAATAAGCAACTAAAAGCAACATAGTGGAAATGGGCAAATGGAGAGCCTTATGGTTATGACTGATTTTCTTCATGTTCATGATCACATGCAGGCTATTTGATCTCCTAAAAGTTGAATGAATGTCTTACATCAACAACAGTAGATATTCTTTCCAGATTAGACGCCTTCAAGTTGTGCTCCAGCCTCTCCAGTTCAGCCTCAAGCTCTGCCTCAATCTTGCTTCTCAACTCAGAATTCTCGGTTTCTTTATCATTTGCCTTTAAATTGTCAACTCGGATCAATTCATTCGTTTCCATTTCAGAACAAGACGCTACTGGCTCTCGAATTAACAATGATGGATCATCTGTCCCATAAGAGCGATGATCAAGTTCCTCGTGTAAATCCTGAACTAAATTGTGAGTTTGCTTCATCTGCTCATTCAAATTCTCTATCTCATTCTTACTGGCCATAGTGGCAGATATTATTCCAATAGTCATTCCGACAAAGAAAAGAAGCATCTGGTCATGTCCTGAAAAATTCCAAAGCAAAGCTCGTAAACAAAGAGGAACTTAATCAGAAGTTCACATCTTGATCGAGCAATGGTATCATATTTCTTATGTGATCATAGAAAACAAAATGGTTCCTATCATCACTCATCCCAACAGCAGAAACATAATAAATCCAACCAAATATTCCATAAATTTGACTGATTGACTGTGTTATCTACGTAAAATAGTCCAAAAATACATTAACACGGCTATCTAATAACAGGATGCAGCTAAGGAAGTTGCAAAAGCAAGACTGCAGAAGCTCGTTTATCCATCTAAATTGATTGCACAACTCATGTCCTAAAGACACCAATTTCAGAAATTTGAACAAACAATTTAGAACGCCCCATATACAGTACAATATAGAAAGCGCAAATTAGAATACTGAATGGATTGCAACAAATAAATAAATATCAGATTTGCAAAAAACACATCCACAGAAACAAGAGAAGGCGGAAGAACCAGGTGAATGAAAAGTTCTGCTGGACGCCCGATCTCTAGAATCACTCGGCCGTGACAAATCAGGGCACTTTTCAGGTTTCCTTTGGATCACAGCTGATTCAAATTGTTTCAAGGAAGAAGATGTCATCGATGAATCGTTTCCTTTCAAGAAAGCACCATTTTCTCTCCTGGCCCCCTCCTTTCCTTGCTCGACTTCTACCACCGGTAAATCATTGCTTAAGCTTCTGATGATTTGTCTTCCATCAGTTACAAACGCAGGCATTTCCGAAGGATTCAATGACCTCATGGAATATCCACAACACATTCTAATAAGCTTGTTCTTACTAAACCTATGGAAATTACAACTTTCGGCACAATCACATCCCGAATTTTCTACATAACTTTCTCCTACAATATGCACCGGTGACAATTTAGTTAACCATGCCCCACTATGATCCTCATGCCCTTCAATATTTTCAAAAGCACTTCCACTACTTGACGAAGCTATTTCTGCTACTGAATTCCCACCATTTAACCTGTCCATTTCCAATAAATTTACATCTTTATCATTACTTTCCTCTGAAATTACATCTTTTTGTGCTTTTTTTCGCGCTAATCTGCGCATTGGACAGGTTCTATCTCGAATCTGCTGCAGTAAATTCCGTGATTCTGATCTGAGTGAGATTTTAGATGTAGGTTCCGCTAAACCTTCTTTTTCGGCTGAAAAATTTTGCCAATTACTTGCTATATATCCAGCTCCAGCAGCTGCGGCAACAATCCATAAATCCATTTCCAATTTTTTTTCCTGAATTTTAATAATTCTTATTTCAAAATTCAGTTGAAAGTCTTTCCCAAACCCAGAACCCGGTAAACACCAACCTGTGAATTGCCAAACTAATTGATTGTGCCGGAGAAAGTGTCGAATTTTATGGGGTTTGAAGAATCTTGTCATGCAAAAGCTAAAACATATGATGAATTTTGATGAGATATGAGCTCGAAGCCAAAAATTTTCGATAATAATAAGCTCTTCGACTGTTAGGAGTAGAGCAGAAAATCTGGAACCGCGAAAGCCCAGCTCGAATTTGTCATTTTTTTTATAAATATAATTCCGATAAAGAATTAAGAAATACAAGAAAATAATTAACTCTCATCCACAAGTTTCTGCTCAATCTAATTGCTTCCACACGCTAAACGTTAGAGGCCCAAATTCAACCGTATCCTTCATCGCCTGATATTTCTTAATATTCTTTGTTTGCTTCTGGTAAAACGTTGTTTATTAATCTCGAGTATGTCTTTTGAATTTATACTTTGATCGTCAAGTGATAAAGTCCTAAAAAAAACTTTGAAGTCTCGTTTCGGGTACTCAAACAATGTGTTAGAGCGACCTTATATCATAAATTGTTTGTAAAGAAACAAAAATAAGAGAAGTGTTGTCGAAAGAACAAAATGTAAAATTTTCATCATCTCCACGACAAAGCTCAATGTCTTGTACGTCGCCTTTCCAATGGATATTTTAAGATGACCGGGTTGGGATCCATAGTCGAGCCTAGTATAGGAATTTAGACGAAATTGTTTAGAAACAACAAGCAAGCAAGGTGCACGTCTCGTAGTAATTTCCGAACTCTAAGGTAACACAAATGTAGTTTCACAGAGTCTCAAAGATTAATGAATGTCAAGACAGAATATAAACTCCTCAAAGTAACTAACAGTGAACCATGTCAACTACAATTAATACATAATTTCCTCTTAATTGTAGCTTCAATTTTGAAGAGGAAGAGAAACAAACCATGGAGAATGTGGAAGTATTCCACGTCCAGTCGTCGATTTAGAAGCCATGAACCGAAAAAGATATCTGCTGCTTTAGAGGAATAACATCGTCCACAGAAGCAAAAATCCTAAAATATCCAAATCGAAAAAGAGAGAACAAACAATTTAAATTATAAATCTATCAAAAAATAAAAAAAGGCAAAGATTAGAGAGTATGTTTGGTATAGAGCCTTGTTTGAGCCACATTATTTTTATAAAAATACATTTTTGAATAGTGTATTGATGGAAAATGTGTTGTTAAAAAATAAAGAAAAATTTTAAATTTACGTGTAATATTATTTCAATTTTTATTGAAGAACGTATAATTCAAATAATGTTAAATCACCATTTAAAAATTTATTTTTTTAAACGATTGTGGGTCAAAGAGGACCATAGTATAAATACAACTCGACAATACATGGGGGAGGCCATGAGGATTTTATTTATTATTATTATTTTTTATTTTTTTTGAACATTTTAGCCTTGTTTGAGCTCTACTTTTGTTAAAAAAAAAAAAAATTAAATTTTGAATAGTGTGTTGATAGAAAATATGTAGTTAAAAAATAAGAAAAAAATTTGGATTTACATGTAATATTATTTTATTAAAGAATGTATAATTGAAATGGGCCAAAACACTATTCAAGAATTTTATTTTTTTCAAAAAATGGGACTCAAACAAGGGCAAATGCTAATACATAGAAGGAAAAAAAAATTCTACAAAAAATCATTTTTTAGCCCCCATTTGTCCTCATTCTTTTTCATTTTTTTGCCCCTCTTATTTTCAACCACATAATCTTCTATAAAATAATATTATATGTAAATCGAAAACTTTTCAATATTTTTCAACCACGCATTCTCAAAAAAAAAAAAAAAAAATACTATTCCAAACATTATATTTTGAAAAAAAAAAAAAAATGGGGCCTAACCAACGTATAAAAGAAGTAATTGGGCTTGGATTGCCATACACACCTCACACCTTCGAAAATATACTGGAAAAGGTTTCAAATTTTTGTTGTTCTTCTCTTAATCTTTTTAGTCTACCTTACCAAACATGTCATATTTGTTTAACTTACATAAAACGGGTCAAGATTCAACATGGTTGAAATATCACATGTCCCATAGCTACGCCCTCTTAGACCCATATTCTTTAAAAAAAAAAAATACATTCTTAAAAGGTAATTTGATATTATTTTAATCAAATATTCTTTAATAAAATAACATTACACGCAAATTCAAAATTTTAAAATTTTTTTTTTATCAATACACTATTCAAAAGTGCATTCTCATGAAAATAATGTGGTTCGAACAAGGGCCTAAAGTGCAATTTGATCATATGCGGTGTTTTAATTGACACAGTAGAAGTGGGATACAGGCTCTGTTTCATAGGGCCTGTACAGATCACACACATTATGGGGGGTGATTTTTTTTAAAATAACCCCCACCCCCACGCCCTCCCCTAGCATGTGAGGTGCCTGTACATTTTCGTTTCTCATATATACGGTGTGTTACTTTTTAAGCAAAAGTCCACATTAGGGCGAAAAAGAAATGTAAAAGCAAGAAAATTTTCAACCAAATCATTGGTCAAAGAATGATTTTTGTCTGAAAGGGAGTGAAACACAACGTCGAGGGGGAAAAGGCCAAAAGGGATTGCTTTTTTTTTTTACCTCCCATCCACACTTTGGTTTGAATTTTGTGCCTCCATGTCCCACTCCAAGCATATCCTGATCACATCAAGAACAAATATCACTGCTGTGTGCACATATTGATGAAAGAATAATTCAATACTCACGTGAAGGGATGTGTTGAAAATATGATCAGAAGAAAAAAAAAACAAAACAAAACCTCTTCCATAGCAATTGATGGTGGTGTTCATCCCATTCTGACAAATACAAGCAAAGGATTCATCTAAACCAGAAAACCCACAAAAGCCTCCACTGTCCTCACAATTCTTGCATGCATTACTGTAATAAGAGTTGTTGTACTGCAAAGAAATCCCATACTGCCATTTCATAGGATCCCCTTCATCCCCTCCAAATCCATTAACTGCTGAATATGATGAACACTGGAGCTTAGGAAGATCCAAACCGTAACCCGGACCAAGTGCACTTGGTGGATCATAAACACAACAAGTGGATATTGCCCCATTTGGTTCTAGTCCAATTCCTTCAACTGATCTACAAGAATACAAACCTCTACAAACATTTAAACCCGAACCCGTATCACAAAAGTCCGTATTTCGATCAAACACGGGTGATGTTGTAGAACATCCGAGCAAAACAAATATATTATCTGGCAATAGGGTAAATGGGCTTTTACGTTCCAAGGTAAAGCTTCCGGAGTTCTGCATTGACGAACAGGTCGACATGAGGGGGTCTGTAATGACAATGGTGTTACTTGAGTAATCTATTGAAGATACTGCGTAAATACCAGTACCAGTTGAGAACTGGAGCGTTCCAAAACTGCATTTTATGTACCTAGCAAAATCAGGATGCCCACAACCAGAATCCGAACCAAAGGGAAACTTTATGGGGACACTGCCACATTTATCACGACATTTCCCATTGAGAGGAATGATACTGGGAATGGC